TCATCGTTAGAACTGATCCTGGAGCAAACTTCAAAGGGAGCTCCTGAGCTAAGGAAGGGGTCCTTCACTTCTCCCTTGCTCTGAGACTAAAATGGGGTCTTTGGCCCAGGGCCTGACTAAGGCAGTTTCCTGAAACCCAAAAGCTGCTCACAGATCTACCAAGGACTCAGTCAATCTGCAGGCTGTGAAACTCAGAGGAGCCAGGGTTGGTTTGAGGGTTTCATCAGCTGAAGCTGTCATTCCTCCTGTCTCCCCCACCCTGTATAGCCTAGAGAAGGAGAGCAGTACTTTCTCCCACTTTCTACAGGTTTTCACTGTAAATTCCATCTATAGCTTGATGTCATCTTTCTATTCCTTTTTCACAGATTCTCTCAAAATAGAATTCCACCTTTCTGAATAACATTATTTTTTAATATATTTTATTGATTGCTATTACAGTTGTCCCAATTTTCCCCCTTTTACCTCACTCCACTTGGTATCCCTCTTCCCTCCAGCAATTCTCCACCCCTTGGTTCACGTCCATGGGTCATGCATAGAAGTTCTTTGGATTCTCCATTTCTTCCATTATTCTTAACGTCCCCCTATTTTATACCTACCAGTTATGCTTTTTAATCCCTGCACCTGTTCCCTCCTTTTCCCCTTCCCCCTCCTAGCTGGTAACCCTCCAAATGATCTCCATACCTATTATTCTGTTCTTGTTCAAGGACTTTACAAGTGTTTGGCATGAGTTTTCCACTCTGCATTTGGCTTACTTTTTTTCCTCTTCTTCTTTTGCTTATTAATAAAGTTTTATTTCTGTGTAACATTATCCTTTTTTGCTATGAATTTCTGGGTGTTACAAAAAATATTGCTAAAGGAACAGTAATTATTCTGACATTTAAAACAGCCAGAGAAAAGATATGATGAAGCTTCAGGTCCTACTGTTAACAGTGAAGGGCACCAGATGTTAGACTTCAGTGCTTGAGTTTTGGCTAAGATGAGATGCTATCTCTAGTTTGACCAAAACTCTGTCTCTGTAGTCAACATTCCCAAGGCTTTGTTCCTTGGGAACAAAGATTTGTTTGATGCAGGTCAGCACCTTATTGTCTTGAGGGCTTAAGACTTCAGGGAGTAGTCATGCAAGGGTTTCTGTGGGGGTCATATGAGACTATCCTCTGTTCCCCTTGTTCTTCTTCTAAAGGGGTCTGCCACATGCCAGGGAAGGAAAAATTAGGGGAGAATCCAAGCTGCATGACCAGCAATGTAAAAGGTCAGGGGGTCAAAACTGTATGACCAGCAATATGTTAGGACAGGAAAGGTCGCCCTGAGGGTGAGGTTCCACTTTATAATTCTCTGTTGCTAGGCACCCAGGCTTTCTGCCCTGCTGACCTGCCCTTACTGTTCCTACTCTGCTCATGTCTAACTGCCTACTATATCACCATGTGGACAGAAAGCTCTCATTGCAACAGGGTCTTACAGTGGAAGCTTCCTTAGTGTTATTTGTGTTCTGATGCCTTTGACTAAGTTCTCAATCCCTTTCATCTTATATTGTCCCTCCCTATTTTTTTAATGTTTAGATTTCATTTATTTTTAAGGTTCACAACAAAATTGAAGTTAAAGGTACAGAGATTTCCCATAAACCTCCTGTCCCCACACATGTAGAGCCTCTGCCATTACCAGCATCCCTCGCCAGAGTAGTACATTTGTTACAACTGATAAACATACAGTGATACATCATAATTACCCAAAGCCCATACTTTACATTATGATTAATTCTTCATGCTGTACATTGTACCAGTTTGAACAAATGTACAATATGTGTCTATGGCATCACAGAGTATTTTCCCAGCCTAAAAGTCCCCTGACATAAACAGTGTGCCAGTTCACCCCTCTGCACCCAACTCCTGACAACTATTGATCTTTTTACTGTCTCCATAGTTTTGCCTTTTCTAGGGTGTCATCTAGTTGGAATTATACAGTATGTAGCCTTTTCAGATTGGCTTTTTTTACTTAGTCATATGCTTTTAAGGCTATTCCATGTATTTTCATGGCTTAAAAGCTCATTTATTTTTAATACTGAATAATATTCCATTGTCTGGATTTATTTATTCATTTTTCCTCCTGAAAGGCATCTTGGTCACTTTCAAGTTTGGACAATTATGAATAAAGCTTTTATAAACATCCATGTACAGGTATTTTTTTTTTCAATTGTTCAAGTACAGTTTTCTGCCTTCTACCCTTATCCCAGCCCATCCCCCCATTCCTTTCCACCTCTCTCCCATTTCAACCCCTCCCTTGTTATTGTCCAAGTGTCCTTTATACTGTTCCCGCAAACTGTTTACTCTTTTCCCCTGAAATTCCCTCTCCTCTCCCCTTTGATCACTGTCAGCATGTACAGGTTTTTGTGTAAACTTAAGTTTTCAACTCCTTTGGGTAAACACCGAGAAGCATAAGTACTGGATCATATGGTAAGAGTGTGTTTAGTTTCTTAAGAAACTGCTAAGCTGTCTTCCAAAGTGGTGGGTACCACTTGCATTCCTACCAGCAACACACAAGAGTTCCTGCTGTTCCTTATCTTCACCAGCATTTGGTGTTGTCAGTGTTCAAGGTTTGGGCTATTTTAATAAGTGTGTAGTGCCTTGTTGCTTTAATATGTATTTTTCTGATAACATAGAATATGGAACATCTTTTCATATGCTTATTTACCAGCTGAGTAACTTCTTTGTTGAGGTGTCTGTTAAAGTTTTTGTTTTCTTTAATAGGATTGTTTTCTCACTGAGTTTTAACAGTTCTTTGTGTATTTTGGGGAACCTGTCTTTACTAAATGTGTCTTTTGCAAATATTTTCCCCAGTCTGTAGTTTGTCTTCTCATTCTTTTGACATTGTCTTTTGCATACCAAAAGCTTTTAATTTTAATGAAGTCCAGCTCATCAATTATTTCTGTCAAGGGTCATGACTTAAAGAGTCATTACTATACCCAAGAAATGCATGTTTCCTACTGTGGTATCTTCCAGTAGTTTTATAATTTTGCATTTTACATTTTGGGCTGTGGTCCATTTTGAGTTAATTTTTGGAAAGGTTTGTTTTTGTTTTTGTTTTTCACATGAATCTCCTGTTGTTCTGGCACCATTTGTTGAAGAGATAATCTCTGTTCCATTGTATTTTCTTTGCTCCTTTGTCAAAGATCAGTTAACTATACTTATATGGGTCTATTTCTGGGTTCTCTATTCTGTTCCATTAATCTATTTTTCTAGTCTGTAACCAGTACCACACTGTCTGGATTTTACGCCTTGTGGAGATTCTTGAAGTCAGGTAGTGTCAGTCTTCCAACTTTGTTCTTCTGCTTCAGTATTGTCTTAATTATTTGGAGTATTCTGCCTCTCCATGTAAACTTTATAATCGGTTTGTTGATATCTCCAAAATAATATTCTGGAGTTTTAATTGGGATTGCACTGAATCTTCTCAAAATGGGAAGAACTGACATCTTGACAATATTGAGTCTTCCAACCCATGAACATGGAATAACTCTCTATTTATTCACTTCTTTGATTTAATTCATCTGAGTTTTGTACTTTTCCTCAAATAGATTTTGTACATTTTTGTTAGATTTCTACATAAGCGTTTCATTTGGGGGATGCTAATTAAACAATATTGTGTTTAATTTCAAATTCCACTTTATTATTGCTTTGTAAAAAAGTGACCGACTTCTATATATTAACCTTATATCCTGGAACTTTTCTGTAATTGCTTATCAGTTTCAGGAGTTTTGCTGTTGATTCTTTCAGGTTTTCTACATGAACAATCATGTCGTATAAGAACATGAACAGTTTTGTCTTCCTTCTTAATGTGTATACATTTTATTTCCTTTTCTTGTTTCTATTGCATTAGCTAGAATCTCCAGTGTGATATTGAAAAGGAGTGATAAAAAGAGACACTCTTGCTTCATAACTGATCTCTCAGGAAAACTTCAAGAAGAAAGCTTCAAGTATGATGTTAGCTGTGGGCTTTATAGCTATTTCTTATCAAAATGAGGAAATTACCACGTCTTCCTAGTTTTCTAAGAGTTTTCTTTTTTATCATGAATATTATATTTTGTCAAGTGCTTTTCCGTATCTACTAATAGGACCATGTGATTTTTCTTCTTTTGCCTCTGAGTGTAGAATTGGGAAGAAATGTTCACAGTAGTCCCTTGCAAGCCCCAGCACACCATCACTGTCAAGTACACTTTTGAAGAGGTGTCAGTCACTGAAGCCTCATCTGAGAAAGCTGTTCACCATGAGGTTCCACAAAAGTGGAGAAGCCCAGGGAAACTGAGCTCTGGAACTTGAAAAATATTTTTGATTTTTCACTAAATTACTCAGAACTTGACCCATTTATGTACCTATGAAAACAATGCAACTCTCCATGCAGTTTAGCTAGCAGTTGGAATTTTTTGTGGCATGAAACCTTGGGAAGCAAGAAATTGGTCCAAGACAAAATTTAGTCCAAATTAGTCCAAGACATAATGTAATCCAAGACAAATTTGGTATGATTTCATTTATTAAAGAATAAAAGTTTCCTTCTAACATATTCTGTCCAACTATCAATTTTATTTAAAATCTTTTAGAAAGAGCAAATCTAACTTTTAAAAAACTGCTGGGCAGTTATAATACTCTGGTTCCCAAGTTGTGTGTGTGTGTGTGTGTGTGTGTGTGTGTGTGTGTGTGTGTGTGTTTTAAAACGAGGCAAGATTATATAGTGGGAGTAGGGAAAGCAAGCCGAAGTGAAATCACTTATGACCATCTGTCATATTAGCCATTATGCATTTCAACATCTGCAACTGAAAAGTCACAGAAGTCAAAAAATGAAAACAAAAAAGAGTTCCAAGGAACACAGATTGCCTGATGATGTTGCTAGAATATTTAGCCCTATGTCCATCTCATGTAAAAAATAAATTAAGTATAAATAAGGAGCTAAAGTGGCTGGTGTTTACTCAGGTGTGTTCACGGGTTTGTACTCAGAGTGGGTATAAGAATGGGGCCAAATGCCCTTCCTCTTCCACACCCGCTACACAAAACTCTCCTCCATGTTGCTGCAGAGTAAGAAAGAGTCCACAAGCCTGGGCTGGACTAGTTGCTGGAAGTCAGAGTCCTGGAGGCCTTCAGGGCAGACCCCGGCCAATCTACGCAGAGCAGCCTGGGGAGAAAACAGAAGAGATGACACAGATCAGACTGGGCCCTCCTCGGGTGCATGTATTTCCTTCAACTACTCTGAGAGATGCATTTCAGGAAGTGGCTTGTTTACCAGGCAATTTGAGCTGATCCTCACCTTGACACCTTAGTCATCCAGTCCTTTTGGTCACCTGACCATCATAGCAATCTCATCACTTGTTCCATTTGTACCTTGGTCACCATGGTGGATGTCATCTGAAAGTCTTCATGATCTTAATAATGGTATTGCCATTTTGGCTTTTTAGTCATCCTAGGAACCTAGTTGTTTTCAAGATCCGTCATTTTAAGTATCTGGTCAACTTAGTGAAATATTTGTTCATCCTAGAGACCAGAACTGCCAGAAACATCAGTAGAATTATGTTGCCACTTCCAAGTCCTTAGAGAAACCTTAGAATGGAAAGGACTATTTATTTATTCATAAATTCAGCAAGGTTCTGAGAAGAGCATTATGAAATGAGAAGAAAGGAAGATCATAAAGTTGAAGGAGGTGGAGATTCTGCCATCAAGATGGAGATGAACAGGGAAGAGAGGTGCAAGCAGAATGAAACCACTGCCCAGGTTTGCACATACTAAGAGTTTTACTCTTTGCTCTGTATGCTGTTGTATTTCACACCCAGGTGGACTTGCTCAGCTCTTCTCCATGACACAAAGTGGGGAGGAGGCCCACTCCTTTCTAGCCAGCATTTATCCTGCTGCATTTATCCTGCTGCATCTAGTTGCATTTATCCTGCAAGGCTTGTCCCACTGTTACATCTTCTAAGAAGCCTTCCATGATTCCTTGGACCAGAGCTGTTCCTCCCACCTCTGTGCACCCACAGCCCCTGTGCTGACCTTGACCTTCTCAGACTCGATTGCAATTGTCTTTGAGGTGTTTATCTCCCACACTAGGCTCTGAGCTCTGCAAGGGTAGAGACTCTGGGTTTTTTTTTCCCTTGTATCTAGAGTAGGTTGAACAATCCAGCACAGAGTTGAATAAATGTTTGCTGAAAAAATGATCAAATAAAATGCTTTAAAATTGAGTCCACTGCTAGAGCTACCTAAAATTACAAATGTGAACTATGTATCTATATAGACCAATGAGCCGAGACAGTGCATACTAAATGCTCAATAAATACTAACTCCTTTCTTCTTCTAGAACCTTTACACATCAGGAAACAAGGTGGGAGCTTAAGGATGTCCTTCCTTGGGAAACATGGGGGGCAATATCTGAAATGGCAGAAGAAGCAAAGAGGAGGAATGCCAACACAATATTTCATTTAATACTTACAGGATACTGCAAGGTAAGTGTCATGATTTCCGATTAGAAATAAGGACACTAAGATTCAGAGAGTGAAAGTGACCTTTCCAAGGTCACACAACAGTTCAGCTCCAAGGCCCTCATACCAACACACACAGCATGATGCTGCAAGCCCAGAATATTAGTTTATACTGAGTATAAGGCAGGAATAGAACCCGTTGCCTAGACATGAGAAGTAACCTGTTGCTGAGAAATACCCAACATGGTAAAACAGAAGATGCCTCTAGTTGGTCATTGGACTAACAGGCTCTGTCATGTCCAGTGGATCAAGAATGGACATGTGTCTCTGTGTTCAGGGGCAGGGTCGGAGTCATCAGTGGCAAGAAGCAGACTCCAGGAGATTGTGTCATGTTAGTCTGTTCTGTTTCTCCAGGGGTATGATTTCCCTAAGAGCTAAAGAGGCTGACTCCATTGCACTTCCTGATTGCTCTTGATCCAGCTGGGAGAATAACCCATTACCCTTGAATTGTCACAGTAAAAACAAGCCAAGGATCTTCAGCAGATGAGGGTGTGAGGCTAGCACTGTATTTTATATCAACAGTGATAAAATAAAGTAAGGGGGAGGGAGGAAGAAAGACAAAGAAATAGAAAAAATAGACCCACAAAGAGAGAAAATAAGATAGAAGAAAGTAGCAAAAACACAGAGAAAAGGAGAGAACAGAAAAACGGAACAAAAAAAGGAAATACAAAAATTGAGAGACAGTTTTTGGTGGAAAAAAATGAGACCAAGCATGAAAGGGAGATGGAAAGAGGGAAAGATGATGACAAAAAAAAGAGAGAGAGAGAGAGAGAGAGAGCACACCCCAGGGCAGGAGAATCATAGGAGAGAGGTGGGAGGAGGGGAGGAGTCAGGAAGAGCAGGAGAGAGAGGGCTGGTGCTGATAAAAAGAGAGAAAGGGAAAGGCGGGAGAGAAACCCCTAAGAGAGCAGGGAACCTCTATAAAACACAAGAGAGAGAACTAGAAACAGACCTGAAAAAACACAAAGGCAATAGACACCCAAGGTCCCCAGAAAGTCTGCAGGACATGAACCCAAACCACCTCAGAGCACCCTCTTCTCAGCATCCAGGGGCTCAAAAGGACCCTAACCTTACTGGATCCTTTCTCTTGGTTGCTGCTTCCCTCAGGGGGTTAACAGCCAGTCACCCCAGGATCTCATTCCCGGACAGTCTGAAAACACCTAAGAACTTAACAAGCCTGGCAACCTCCTGACAGCTGCTTCAATAAGGGAAAATCAATCCTGTTTGCAGGAGGCACTCTGAGCTGCCACTTCCCCAGACACAGGAGAAGAGGATTGAAGTGTCCTCCATCTGTCTGAGAGGAACCTTTGAAACTGAAGAGGGGCAGGAGAGGTAGCCTCCAACTCCATCCACCAGGCCCGGCTCCAAGTGGCCCCATCTCACCAGCCAGGGGGCAGCAAATACGGAGACCCTTCCACCAGCCAAACCACAAACACCCACCAACATGGGGGAAAGGGTGGGGAGACAGTCTATCAGTCCATCAGCCAAGCCAGAAATAGTCACCAAACCCAGAGAGAAACGAAGAGCTGGAAAAGAATAACAACCTTAAGAAGGGTGAAACTCAAAAAGGGTGAACTGCAAATCTTCCCATGAGCCAAGGTAACAAGGCCAGGGCCATAAGACACAGGGGGAGAAAGTGTGGCTGGAAACAAGATTATTTGGTCAAATGTCACAACCTGCAGCACCAGGTAGGCCTGTGTTTAAACTCAACAGCCTCACTTTATAACACCTGGAACACCAGATAATACAACCTGCCTCCTAATGAGGAAAACCTAGGTGGGCCTAGGTGCATACAGGTGCTCCCTGACTTTGAGCATGGAGAACTCCCAGGAAGCTTCATGAAGAAGAGGGATTCTGATCTAAGTCTTGAAGGGGCTACCGGCAGAACTGTAGAAAATGTACCTGCTGGGAACAGGGGCCAAGGGTGGCTCACCGCACTCTGACCGAGCCAGAAGGACGAGGCCTGGAGGCAGTGGGAGGCCTTCAGAGACCAAGGGGTGTCAGAGCCCAACTGCGAAGGGCTGGACCACAGGGACAGTAGCCGTAGGTAACGGGAACCATGGAAGTGTCATGGTCGTGAACTGTCAAGAAAACAATGAGCGCAGCATCCAGGTAGTGGGTGAATTAGGGAGGGAGGGGCTCTCTTCGGTGTGCAGCAACTTGTCTACAGGAGGAATTTAATCCCTTTTCCCCTGGAAAGCCCTTTAAGAGATGGAAGACAGTGGCCACACCTTTCTGTGTGCTCTTCTTTGAGCTAATAATGAAAATGAAAAACGAATCATGACAAGCCCATATATCTGAATGGAGCTTAGTTTCCCAGCATTATTTTCTCAGGGCTTAGTCAGTGCCGAGCAGTTGCCAGCTGCCCGAGTTGTCGAGGTAATGGTACTTGGGGCCAATTATTATGAGTTTTCCGGGTATTACTCTCTGTCCATTTGACTCACTAGACCAGACAAAATTAAGAAGCTCTGAGAACTTGGATTAAAAAATTATGTTTTTACATTCACTAACCTCCAGCTGAAACTTAGCCTTTCCATCAGTTGTGAATGTAGCAACAAACCATGAAGCCTCAGCAGTCCCTGTGGCTTGTTCACCAGCAGAAATCCCAGAACCTTTTGTAGCTCATGACGGTTACAAACTGCGTCAAACGTCACTGGCACTCACCAGTAGTCAGGTAGCGATGCTTATTAGACCCTCTGCCAGATTTTATTTAATTTATTAATTAAATGTGTGTATATTGACATATCACCTGTTTAAATACTCTATAATTATTTTAATATAACTGGTTTCTTTTTTAATTCTCTATATTTTATTGTATGCCTTTAAAACATTATTCTGAGAAGGGGCCCGTAAGTTTTGCCAGATCACCAAAAGCACAAGGAAGGTTAAAGTTGCTCTGCATGTACCAGAATAAAAGCCCCATGAGAGCAGAGATGTTTGTCCTATTTTTTTCATAGCTATATCCCCATAGCCTAGAAGAGTGCATGATACATTGAATTACTCAGTAAATATTTACTGAATGAAATGTATAACATGTAGTGAACTACCCAATATCACATAGTCCATTAATGGCAAAACCAAGACAGATGTGTCTGACTATAATGCCCTGCTGTTTCCACCACGCAATGCCCATCAGGAGCTCCCAAAAATGATGGGAACTCTGTTACAAGAAGATAGGTAAGAAGAGGGCTTTACTGTGACACAGCCTGAAGGACCTCTAAACCCATCACTTCTATCACTTCTCCCTTGCATTTGTTGAGGACCACTCAAGGCTCTGGATATTAAACAGCCTATATACCCAATGGCTTCCCTGCTCCTCCACATTTCCAACTGGAAGCTGCTCTATTCTGAGATTCATTATAGTGCAGCAAGGAGGAATACAGGGACAAAGCATGCATCCTCCATCAGGTGTTACTGGATGAATTAATCACTGACCCAGACATCAAAGAGAAGCTGGGTGGGGACCTCCCAGGATGCACTTGCTTGGTTCAGGGTGAAGATTCTGGGGACTGACTGAATAATACTCTCTGTCCTGTCCTATTGCTCCGCTCAGCAAAGGAGAGAAGGAAGCCACAAAGCTTTCCTCCAAGGAGGAAGGGAGGCTTGCTCACTATGTCCAGTTTGGACAGGCAGGAGATGTTCAGACCCTAAATCCCACGTGCAACAAGCCCCAGAATGTCACTAACACCATCCAGCATTCCACCAGCCAGCCACTCTGGTCTTGATTGCTGTTAGGATTCCCTAGAACCTCAAAAGTTTGTGGTTCCCCTGTTCCCCATCTTTCACATATATGACTTCATATAATTTTCTTCACAATTTTTTGAATTATATGAACCAGTATTACTCTTACCGCTTTAAAGAGAAAAGTTGAAGCGCAGAGAAGTTCCAGGGCTTACCCAAACCAGCCATGGCATAGCCAGTGCTCCTGACCAGGGAGAAAGGTGGGGGAAGACTGAGAACTCACCAGGCAGGCCACGAGCACAGCATCACTGCTGTTCCTCTCGGAGGGTGATCGGCAGAGCTCAATGAGGCGGGACATACCTGCGTGAGACGTGCAGAAAATCTCAAGCCCAGCATGGGGACCAGCCTGGCCAGGCCTGACCCAGGGATGTTCCACTCTCTCTCACTCCCCTCTCTGTGTGGGGCCTGTGAAAGCGGGTGGCTTCCAGGGCCCCTATCAGCCCTCCAATCGACTGGGGAAAGAGAGTGAACCCAGCTGGAGGAGCTTGTGGTAGAGACCTGCTATCTCAGGTGTGAACAGACCCATGCCAGGGCCAGGATACTGGCCAGGACTGAACTTAGTTAAGACAGCAGTGAAGGTAGCACAGGTCTTTCTGAAAGAGAGATACTTCCGTGGAGGCATTTCTGATTTTACCAGATCCAGCTTTAGTGTTTACATCTTCATCAATGGAACTGTCAGTACCTTCTGTTTTTATTTTTCCAGTTGCTTATCAATCAGAAAATATATTGTAGCTGAAACTACAGAAAACTACAGATTAAGTTAATGTTGTCTAGCCTTCACAGAAAAAAAGTTAAATAAATGACTTGCTTGTCAATGCAAGTTGACTTTATTCATCAAGTCAACTGTCTACAAGTCTTATGGAGCTGGAATTCCTTGCTGCCCCGGGGTCACCTCTTGCCATCCTTGTTGTACCTGGATGACAGGCAGCCCTGCCAGGCCTGTTCTCAGCCCTGTGCCTCGAGCAGTGCCCTTTCTCAGTCTTCACAGCAGAGTAACTCCTCAAACCACAGGTGGAGACTCACCTCCTTGCTAAAATGTATTTTTACCCACCCAGATAAATGTGGGCTATTGGACCTGGTTTGAGCATTGCTCTATGATATTCAAATGCAAGTGTTTCTTTTCATACTTGCCACTCTATTAGGTCTGAGTCTCTGTGGTCAAGACAATGTTATGGTCAATGTTGTATGTCTAGCACTTGGAGCAGAGCCTAGCATAGAGTGGGTATCTGAAAATGTTTATTGAGTAAATAAGAGACTTAACTGAATGAATGAATGATTTAATAAGTGAATTCATAAATGAGTTAATGATGAATAAATAAGTGTGCTAATGAATAAACAAAAGGATGAATTAATGAGTGAATGAACAAATGAGTAAATGAGTAAGTAAATAAGTGAATGAATAAAGAATTGAATAAGTGAATGAAAGAATGAGGTCCTAAGTAATAGGAATTCTGCAGGTGAGTCACTGTTCTGGGCAACTAAGACCTCTCTAGGGCTTTCCTCTCTCTTGCTTTAGCCCCAGAGTACAAACTGGACTAGGGGCTGTATCCTGGGCCTCCATCCCAGCATTTCCCAGCACCCAGAGAGTGGGGCTCACCCCAGGCAGTCCTTGCTCTAACTCCTCTCTTGTTATCACGAAAGCTAGGCTGTTCCCACCTCCAAGCCCCTGCCCACTTCCACAACCAGCACCACTTACAGCTCAGCCGCACGGCCTCACGTGCCACCTCTGGGTCTCGGCTGAGACGGGCGAGGGTCACTGCAGCCTTCTGCTGGACTCGCTCACAGGCTGCCACCTCAGCGGGGGTCCCAGACCTTGGCTTCTCAGACAACATGCCCATGATAAGCTGGACCCCTGGACAAGAGGCAATGAATAGTTGGTACCCACTCCAGTGAGGAGCCCCACCCTGGGGCCAGCTGGATGGATAGCTGCAAAGCTTGAGCAAAAGCTGTCAGAATGAGTTAGTGGTCTCATACAGGAAGGAATTTACACAAGGCCACCTCTTCTCCTTCTACCTTGGGCATGTCTCTGACTGCATGTACCAAGTCACCGTACTTGGAAAGAACATCTGGAGGACATCTTGTTTTACTTTTTTAATGCTATTACTGAGCTTTTTTACCACGTGTTTGGCACTGTGCTAAATGCCCAGCAAGTGCATGATCCCCTAAAACCTTCCAATAGCCTCATGAACTGGTTACTAGTATAATTCACTTTGAGGTCTGGAGAGAAGTATCTTTTCCAGAGTCATGCAGTTAGCAGTTGGGGAGCTGGTATCAGAACTCAGATACTATGGCTCTTCTCTATCACCTCTTCACTTCTGATGCTGGCTGCATCTTAAGTCAGGTCCAGCGGTGAGGGGTCCCCTGGTGGGAGGTAACCCAAACCAAGACTGACTGAGCAATAGATCAAAATATTTTAGAAGTGATTAAACACTAGAGGAAGCTAGAGCAATTGAATTGAGAGAGTTAGGCCTGAATTTGGTGGGCTGAGAAGCCTTCCCATCCTCCCCTGAAACGAGATCTGTCTTCTGATCGTCCTACAAACCTGCACCCACATGCACTGGCCACCTGATTCTTTCTGCAGGCAATGTCCTTTTCCTGGCCTCTCTAGCAGTCCCCATCTGCAGGTGGTGGTAAAATTCCATCTTCTGTGGGAGGCACTGCACTAGCCCTCACTCCCCTTCCCTATACCCAGTGGCACTTGCAACTTTGGAACTTAAAGCAGACATGGCCCACAGATGTATTTTGCTTTGTTCTGTTGCTTCACAAAGTGTCTAAAATATTTATTAAATTTTTGATAATATGAAAATTGGGAGATTTCCACCTTCTAAAATATTACTGCCTCATCTGACATCCTGGGCCCATTATAAGCTCCATCTTTTAAATGAGACTGATCCAGTCCCTGCTGAGCTCATATCACCCATTTATATTACCTGTCTGGGTGCTGTGCACATCTAAGTTTGCAGCCTTTAACTTAGACCACAGGGCTGGAATGGTCCTTAGAGTTCTATAGTCCAACCCCTTTTACTCCCCCACTTCACAGACAAGCACCTGAGGTCTGGGGAGGTGAAGTGATTTCCCAAGTTCACACAGGAGTCAGGTTCAATCCAGTGCCATGGCCATGTGCATCTCCAAGTCTTATTTGAACTACATACAATTTTTAACTCTCCTAGGTCCCCATGCAGAGGGACTGTGAGTTACTTCGTTATAAACCTTAAGACCTTCAGTTCTGGAGAGGGGCCATTTCTCTCTCTGGGGAGCTTTGTAAGTATCCAATTTCTTCCCCCTATGGGCACAAGGCACTCTGAAGGTCCTGCCTTTCTTAGCACCAATTATCTTTGCCACCACATACTCTAACGTTGGGAACGGTGCTTCTCTCCGAAACTGTCTCCATGGTCACCGATTAGAACATGGCCTTCAGGTGCCTGTGCCCACATGTCCCTAAGACAAGTTCATGGTTGTTAATGTCCCATGATATGAATATTATAGCCTATGAGGACATGAACTGGGGGCACCAACTTTAGAAAGTTCCACAAGCTTAAGAAATTTTACTAGCTCTTCCTGATTAAGGTTTCCATAAAGAAGCAATTTTCCCATGCTCAGCTTAGCATCTGGAATAGTTTCTCATATAACCAGCAGGTAATCTTCACAGGGCAAGGATTTTTGTCCATTTCCTGCATGTGTATGTCTAAAGTATCCAGGTATTGCTTAGCTCAAATGTTTGTGGAATGACTATCAAATGAATGAATGTGAATGCATTCATGTGAAAAGTCTTACAGGTGTATAAAAACAAAGTTGTCTCTAAACATACCCTTTTTAAGTCTAGAAAGTGGTAAAATGCTATGAAATTGGGGCTGCCTAGGACAATCCAGAATGTGTTTTCTAACTTCTGACCAGGCTCAATGGCAGAAACATCGCCTGGGAGTTGTGGGGAGTTGCAGCTTCGTAGACCAGCCCCCAGCATCATGGTACCCCCAAAAACAGTCTCTTCAGCTCAGTCCCCAGACCCACAAGGAGAAGCAAAACTAGCTGAAAGGGGGATATTGAGGCCAATGGATTGGCAGCCAAGAGCTTGGGCTGCCCTGGCCTGCCTCCCAGTATGAGGATGACCAGCGACCACAGTCTCCAACTTCCCATAACCCTATTCATCCAATTCCCCACCACCAACAACATACACAATTTGGGGCAGGACAGAGACTAAATCACCAGAGTGCAGGGCAAGGTACATCAGAGTCTCGTGCATGCTGGTAAGAGGACTGCCTTCCAAAGCCCAGGCTGTAGCTGTATAGCAGGGCTGGCCCTGGCCGGCCCAGAAGGTCTGCTATCCACGTCATCATCCCACAGACAAGCACCCTTTTGTAAATAGCCTTCACCAAACTCTTCAGTGGAACCATGTGAGACGGCCACTGTTTCCTGAAAGAGCAGATACATGTAGCACAGTACTCATTCTGGGCCACATCCACTTCTGACAGGCTTTCTATTTATCTTCACATCATTCCTGAGAGGTCAGTATCAATATTATTCCCATTTCGCAGATGGAAACACAGAGGTCCTACAGCTAGTAAATAGCAAAGCCAGTCAGTTTGTTTCCAGTTTTCATGGTGTCGACTGCTATGCCACCCTCCCTCACCTGCACTATTTTATCGTAGATGTCACACTCTTGTCACATTATCACATTTGTCTAGTTGGCCTCTCCTTCTAGACTCTGATATCCTCTCTGTTCATTTGTTTAGCACAATGCTAGGCACAAACTAGGTCTCAATAATTATTGACTGAATGAGTTCATTCATAGTACTGTATAAACCACAAAACCATCCTCTACAGGTGCTAGATATCCCAATCCCAAACCCACAGGCCTCTGGTGAGCCACTCTTGCCGAGCACTTGAACTTAAGCCTCCAAGTGTTGAAGGAACAGCCCACAAATGACACCCCTCAGACTCCCAGCCTCAGCAGCTCAGGAAAGTTTTTCATTATTAGCTCATCACATAGAATTAACACAAAATGGTATCTTTCAATTAGCAATAGAGCAATGGGGGGTGAGGAATGCGTATGTTAGTTAAAACAGCAGGGCAACCCCGGAAAAGGGGGTTTAACAAGAGCAGAGGCAACTGGCCCTGGCTCCCTGCCCCCTCGTCCTCATTAGTGTCTGGTCTCCAACTGGTTGCTAATTGCTCCCTTATTTCCCTGTCACAGGAAGCCCTCACCACTCTGCTCCCAGCTGCAGGGAGGCTGGCCTGCCCTCCAGCACAGACTGCTTAGATCAGTTTCTGGCCAAGGAAACCTGGCTCTCTTCCGGTGGACCTCAGTGACACCCCCAGCACAAGGTGGGAGTGGGGGAGAAAGTGCAAAAGAGGCGCACTCAGGTGAGGGGTCACGGGATCTGGCTAGCCCCGACCTGCTCCCACACTCCTTGGGCTCTTCAGCTTTCCACTGAGGCCAAGTCCAAGAAGATAGGAATGATTTGAAACTGAAATGCCTCCTCCTGTAGGAATAGACTTTTACATTTTGGATCATGAAATCTCTGTCTTCCCTCACCACCTTAGTGAAAAGAGCAACTGCCACCCTCCACCTCGGGTCTGCCTTACCCTCTGCCCTGCCTTGTCTTCCACGTGGCACTGCCACTCTCAGGCCTTCTCTGTCTCCCACTCGCTGTCTCCCACTAGAAGTGGAGCTCCACAATGGGAGGTGGACATTTACACACTGGTCCAGCTGCACACATAAGCACCCACATACACACTCCTGTGATTGTGCAGACCTGCATGTACAAATTTGTGTGCCTCCACATAGGCCTTCCCCCAAACACAAAGGCGCACAGTTCTGGATAGGCACACAACCCACACAACCTGCCCTCTGCTAAAAATACGTACCATTCTCCTGGATGATGTCAGAGGCGCACTGCTCGAGGACAGACATGTTCGCCAAGATGGTCACAATCTGGAAGAGACAATTGAGAAGCTAAGAAAATGGGCACGTCTGAGCCAAAAGGTGCTCTCCGCAGACAGGGGATCCGGGGATGACAATGCTCTCCTGTAGCCTGTGATTCCTCACTGGGCACCTGGCCCATCCTTTCAGGGTATTTTCCTTTACCCTCTGGACTCCTGCCACCCAGATGTGCTTCCCCAGGGACTTGAGGCCCATTCATCAGCTCGTGGCCCTGGGATGGAACCCAGGGCACCACTGGAGAGAACAATGCCCCTGAGGAGACAAGCAACACTTTCTGCAGAGTCCTTCTGATCCCAGGCCCTGAAATGCAGATGGAACTGGCAGGTTCCTGGCTAGCCTCTGCCTGGATTGGGTTCCCTCCATCCTAACTTTTTGCCCTGATACTGAACCCCACCTACTTTCAACCTGAAATTAATGGAGACTAAGGTCAAGTTAGAGAACATGAGTGGGCTAGAAGGGCAGCGATACACCTCAAGTATCACGTATTATATAGAATCTGCTGAGAAAGTTCATGCTCAGCTGCACTTCACAAGTCTGTGGCCTGCAAACTTTGCTTGTTGGTCATCACTGAGGGACACCACCTATCCTAGAGGGATGCTGATACCAAGTGGACAGTGAGCCATGGTTATGACCTCATGGGCTGGGCAGCCAACAGCTCACCCATCCCCGCCCCCTGGCCTAGTCCAGGTTGCAGAAAGAGCTCACAGCACAAAGCTGGATTAAGAAATGGACAATCAAAGGACCCATGGCAGACTCCCAAACTGTACAGGGTGCCAATTTACCCCTGGGAAATGTGGAAAACCTGCCACCTGTTACCTCAGACACCACCCACAACACTGCTCCTGACATAAAGAGCAAAATGAAAATCCATGGAAACAGACAGCGCTCCCACATGGCAATTGCAATAAGTAGTCAAATGAAATAACATTTCTCATTGGTGCGGGCCTATCCCTGGTGAAAGATTCTTCGGTATAACTGGAGGCCATGGCCCGCCTCTGAGGAGGCAGCTGGCAGTCTCCCGAGGACAGTTTGGGCAGCTTAAATTCTGAAACTGGCTTATTACTGAATAGCAATGTGACATTCACCAAGAAAGGGTGTTAAGTGGATTTTAATTGGCTCAATATTGGCATATTACTCTGGATAACAAATAGGTTAATGGATAATCTATTACATAATAGGTCTCTTTTCAACAGAAAGAAAAATTTGCCACATTAACAGAATATCTACCTCCCCACTCCCACTAAACAGATGTTGACAAGGGAGATGCATCCCAACTGCTGAGGCATCTGTGTGTGGCAGCCCCTGCCAGCTCAGAGTGACATAGCACCATGTCACTCTGACCTCTGCTTCCTCAATCACACCTCAGTCTCTGACTCCAATCCTCTCGCCTCCTTCTTAGAAGAACACTTGTGGTTACACTGGGCCCACATGGACAGTCCGGGTAATATCGAGATCCTTCAACTGATCACATCTGCAAAATCCCTTTGGCCACGTAAGGTAGCCCATCCACAGGTTTGGGGATTAGGATGCGGACATCTTTGGAGGTACATTATTTGGCCTAACACAGGGGATCAAAATGACATCATGGATAAGACCATTATGGGGCCTGGCTGGGTGAGCGTGACCGGGGAGGGCTGCCAGGGCAGAGACAGGAGACTCCCCAAACGCCTGGTCCCAAAGGCAAGTCTGCCCTACCAAGTGTGTGAGGAAGGGAGCCACGAGCTCCTGTTTGCATTTTAGAAAGATAGTGGGACTAAAAGAGGGTTCGTTCTCGAAAGCCCCACCCTTTTAAGATTATGAGTGTTTGTGGGCTGAGTGAAAGGAATTAAAGGAAAAATATGAGTTGAAGATGCAGTTGAAAAATGAAAGGTTCCCCAAGAGGCACAGAGTGCACTGAGGAAGGACACCCGAGGCCAAGTCCGTGATGGATCACAGTCGGGCTGGCTTGCTCTGAGCTGTGAGCAGGGGCAGAGAGAACGACCTCTGCTCCCACCACACAGCAGCTACTATACTCCAACCATCACCAGCCTGGCCTCTCTGAATAGACATGCTTGCTTGATGCTTGACATACTGATCCAAAAGGGAAGGGAGGGAGGCAGGAAAGGAGGAAATGAGGGAGGAAGGGAGGGGGAGAGGGAGGAAGGATAAATTTAAAAAAGAAAAGGAAACCTTTGTCTGCAGCATCAAGTTCATTACATGGCAATTATTAGCTGTGTCACAGACACAGGTAGGTCTTTGTGTCAGACTAATTTAGACCCTGTTAATGAAAATTGCTTCCTCTTTACAGAACCCGTACCCCATGTGGTTTTCTGAGGTACAGATGAAGTATTCAATTAAGCACAATTTGAATAAATGCCAATTAGGCCCTTGCCTCGAGGCCCCTATTTTGAAACATCCTTACGTGCAACTGTGCACTGTGATGTAGCGGGGAAGGGAGATCAAAGTTTCTTCTCACAGTCAAGCCCAGGGATGGGACTTCAGGGACAGCAGGCTTATCTCAGGCACTAGAGAGCAATGCTGTCAGGGACAGTTCTCCCCTGGCCCAGGCTGATTCGATCCTGTCTGATGATTTTCAATTAAGTCCGATTCCTCCTGAGAGAAAAGGCACTGTTGCTTCGGCAGTTATTTGGTGAATAGGAAGGACACCAGCCTCTGGAGCAGCCCTAGGTGAGAGAGAGGCGAGGTCGTGCACTGGCTAAGCACATGGGTCAGCCTAGTTCCAAACCTTGGCTCTATCCTTCACTTTCCTTGTAATCTCAGCCACACCACTTCACCTTTTGTGCCTTGGTTAATGATGGTGTATCAGATTTCTATTCCTACCTCAACAAATTACCACAAACTGGGTGGCTTTAAAACAACACGATTTTATCTTGCAGTTCTGGAGGTCAGAAGTGCTAAGTGGGTCTAACAGAGGGAAGATCAAGGGGTTGACTGAGCTGCATTCCTCAGGAGACTCTAGAGCCCATGTCCTTGTCTTTTCTAGTCTCTAGAGACTGTTTGCAATTCTTTGGCACATGGCACCATGTCATTCTGACCTCTGCTTCCTCAATCACACCCCAGTCTCCGACTCCAATCCTCTTGCCTCCTTCTTAGAAGAACACTTGTGGTTACACTGGGCCCACATGGACAGTCCAGGTAATATCGAGATCCTTCGACTGATCACATCTGCAAAATCCCTTTGGCCACGTAAGGTAGCTCATCCACAGGTTTGGGGATTAGGATGCGGACATCTTTGGAGGTACATTATTTGGCCTAACACAGGGGATCAAAATGACATCATGGATAAGACCATTATGGGAATTAAAGTAGTTAATGTGTTGTCAAGCACCCAGAACATTTGTTAAATAAGATGAGTATCATTTGCCTGAAGGAAACAACCTACAAGTACCCAGACCCTGAAAGACTGCATCCAGGAGCACTCGGTATTGGCACATGTTCTGCTGTTGTGAGATCATCGCCAAAGGAAGGCAAGCTACCAGACCTTCCCAGCAGAGAACCTGACTAATGTTGTGCTTATTACTTTCTGTTATATTTTGAAATAATTTTCCCTTTCACCTCCCAAAGACCTGACTGACCACCTTAGGAAAATGGAGGTGAAGAACAAATTGAACCATAACAGCAGGGGAGCCCCCATGTCACTGGTTCAAAAAAGGAACAACCCTGTGTGGGAAAAAGTTTGTCAAAGCCTTTTGATATTAGCATATACACGGAGGAAAAGATTTACTCTGGGCAGGCCCAGGGCAGGTGCCTCAGGAACACCAGTCCGCAACCCACCCCAAAGACGTGGACCAGGCTTGTCTCACACTCTTACCGATGTCTGCCTGTGATCACACACCCACTCTGTCCCTGTCCCTGTGTGCTCCATATAAACTAACACTGAAGACTGTGTCACATAAATAACAAGTGAGGAGCACTCAGGACACCCAGATAGAGGCAGATGCTCTATCTAATAGAACTTACAACACAGGATAGCTGACATGTATTTCATGAAAAATTATTATTGCTTTTATGCTGTGCAGTAATTAGGACAAAAAGGCCAACAGTTCATATGACTGTAATTAGAATTACTCTTTAATTGCTAGATGGAATATTTAGATTTCTGTTATCACTGTGTTTACTCTCTAAAAGCTATATCTACTGTGCCAACTACTGCCCTGAGACCAGCCAGCAAAATCCCTTCCAGCCTCCAGGGAAAGCCTACTGCGTCTCCCTGCCCTGCCTTCTTCCCTCCACACCATTTCCTCTACCAAGGAGCGGAAGGAACTAAGACAAGGATATTGTTTTGAAGGATGAAGGGGTCTGAGAGTAGAAGGGCGTGGTCTCTTTGAGTACACTGTGTCCACTCTTTCTAAGTGGCTTACCATCTTTACCACCCCCTCAATAACACGCACACACAGACTGAAACAACACACACCACCTTGCCTGGTGCCACACCACACCCACCACCACATTAAGTACATTCCCTGGCCCTACCTTCCTGCCCCAAAGCTGGCATTCCCCATCTCAGACCCATCCCAGCTCCTGCTTCCATCACACACCCCTGCCCTGCTTGTGTCTGAGCATCCACTCTGGTGCTAACCACTTGATGAGCATTATGCCATCTGATCATTATAATGATACCAAGAGGGAGAGAATATTATTATCCCTGTTACCCAGATGGGGAAAGTGTGACTTAGAGAGATCAAGTGGTTTGTCTAAGGTCACACAGCTAGAAAATGGCAGAGTCAGGACTGAAACTCGGGTCTGTCTCAACCCAAAGCCTATACTGTTTCTACTATGTCATACATGTATATGACAGGACTTTAAAAACCACACAGGTATTTTTTTCATGTGAGCTAAAATTATAATCCCTAGTAACTGGCACTTCTGATAAAAAGGACTCCTGATAATGGTTTTCACAGTGAGGTGAAATGGTCTCAGAAATGCTGCAAAGTCTGGACATTCTAAAATGTCTAGCAGACGATATGTTTTTTTGTGGGAAGTGTATACCAGCACCCCCACCTCTATCACAGCAATGAATTTCAAAGGCCACAGAAGGTCATGCTCAGGGGAAGTCTGTGTTGTGGGCTAGATGAGATAGTAAGGTCTCTTTCACCCTCAGTTGTCACTGCTTGGCAGGCAGGGGAGAGGTGAGCTGGCATGAGACAGCCCCTTTCCCACTGCCCATCACACCTGTGGCTGGGTTCCCCAGGCAGCAGGACCCGTAGAGAATACCTCCTGTGGATTAAAATTTGGTTTGTTAGCAGGGAGTACTTCTGTGAGAGGAAGAACCCAGACACAATGCTGCCCTCACCCCTGTCCACACCCCAAGGAGGGGTACAGGATAGGCATGGCCATCAAGGCTTCTGCTGGACAAATTAAGTGGACTCAGCTTGCTGAGATGATGGAAAGGTTCTCACCGAGATGTCCAAATGGAGATGGACCAAGTATAGATCCAAGACCAAGAGGCTTCACACAACATTGGCGTCATTGGCAGATGCATTACCGGAAACTTCATGGGCATTTAATCTCCTAAGTGTTTCAGGGGGCAGTGAGCACTTCAGAGTCTAATTCATCTTCTTTGTCTTCATTACAGAGAGCTCTCTGATCACCTTAATCCTCCCTCTGCCACAGGAAAGAGCCATTTGTTTCTTTAATGGGAACACTCTCACTAGCTAAGTGGTTGCTCTGAGTCAGGGCAGAAGGTGAGCCATCCTGAGGATGGTGGGAGCTGTGCCTGGCTGAAACTTAAAGGGTGGGGTGAAAAGGGAAGAAGAGGGATGAAAAAGATGGAATTCGGGGGACAAGGTGGTTAGGGAGTGGGGCAGAAAAACCCTTGAGTCCAGAGTCAGAGAGTTGCCCTCTACATAGAACTTGACCACATTCCCTCTCCACCCTGAACCCCCTCCTTCCTAGGAATCAATGAGGTTTCAAGAGGGGCCAGCCATTCATCATGATAAAACAAGGGCCTCTGCACATAGGGCATAGGGGACATCTAAGCTGAAAGAGATCACCCCCCTTTTACAGATAAGCAAACTCTACTCCAGAGGTCCCCCACTCAGGGCAGCGTGCCACACATCCAAAGGCCAATAGGAGTAATAACATTGACATGTGCTTCCATTTATTTAATAGTTTCTTTGTGCCAGGAGTTGTACCACGAGGTTCTATTCATTCATCTATTTAATTCTCACTTCAACTTTGTGAAGTACATTTTATTCAACCACATACACAAATGAGAAAAGTAAGGCTTAGAGTGAAATGTCTAAAGTTATATGATTATCACAGCAGAGGGGCCTTGAACCCAGGTTCATCTGACCCCAAAATTCCTTTCTTTTTGACGTACTACTGGATCTTGCATGAAATGACCAGAGTTGGCCACAGAGAGGCATGTGAAGGTGAAAAGACCTCATAATGTGTCAGGAAGATGAGAGACCCAGCAACTGGAGGTGTCTTGCTGAAGAAGAGGAGAGAAGGAGCAAGGCCCATTGCACAGGGTGGGCCCTCTAGCCACATTCCCCGCAGCCAAAGGCAGTGACCGCAGTGCACATTGGGCAGGTCCCCCTCAGAAACCAAGCAGGCCATTGGCCATCACTCTGTATCTGTCTGTACTCCCCGCATCCCTTGTTTGGGTGGGGAGCTTGTTCAACTCCTTAAGGAGTAAAAGACTTGACCATAAAGGAAGTCTGAAATCCTACCATGGTTGGCTTGGGAGGGCAAGTTAAGGATGTTGAATAATTCACTCTTCATGCTCTTCCTGGGAGCATTAAGTTTTTAAAAACAATATCATGTATTAAAGACTGAGTAGGGGCTAAGCATTGTGTCAGGTTCTTTACATAGATTATCTCACTCACCCTCACCATAACCCTGTGAGGTAGACATTCAAGTCCCAATTAACAGAAGAGAACACCAACACCCAGGAGGCTGTGACCTGCCTAAATCGCCAATGAATAAGTGACCAGGATCAATACTCAGTCTCTCTGACTGTACAGCTACACTACCTCCACTTCATTTTCAAAGATGACAGCAGATGACAGACAGAGACCATCTAAGTCAGCCTAAGTCAGGCCAGAATTAAAATGCTCGCTAGCAATTTGCCAACCCTATGATTTGGGGGGCATCCTTTTGAGCCTCAAGACCTTTATCTGTTTTCTGACTACCTACAATCCAAAAATCCCAACCCAAAAAAATTCACCCCCCAATATTACTGCCAGAGCTGGGCTAACAAGTCAAAAAAATAAAAAAATGGTGATTAAAATATTATACAAATTCAAAAAAGAAAAAAAGGCTTGTTGGGGATTCTCCTAAAAAAAAACACACAAAAAAAAATAATAAAGAGAGCGGGCGGGGGGGAGAGGAGGGAAAAGGGGGGGGTTGGTGGCGGGGGGGGGGGGGGGGGGGTGTAAAATGGAGCAAATATTACCAGCTTCATAGAATTATTAGAAACCCCACAGGCAGATGCTTATACACCAGAAAATTTGCCCTGAATGTGAGTTTCTATAGACAGTGATTTGTTGGGAACCACTCTGCCTGGTTTCAGGAGTTGTAACTGGCCCCCCATGAATAAGACTGAGTGAGTGACCTCCAGAATGCAAGCCACTACGGAGGCAAAGCTTGTCTCTGGCAGCAAGTGCTGCTTCTGCTTCTTCCCCTGCCCCCAATGCTTGGTCCATTAGTCAGAGATGGGTAAGACCCCTCATAGAGGGGGGCAAACTAAGCCAGACACAATCACTTAGGAGGCCCTCAAGGAAGGACTCAGGGGGCTGCAATAAAAAGGGAGTGATGGACCCTCGCCCCTTGGCTATTCTGACATAGCCTGAGTCCCCATTTCCTTCTGGGAGAAGCACTTCCTGGCTCTAATCCACTTAAGCCTAAAAACCTATAACTGGGAAGATGGTGCAGCTCTCTGCCGGCTAGAACAGGATCCAGGGTGATTGGGCATAAGAAAGAATTCACAAAGTCCTATGAAGCCTGCTTTGCTAAGAGTCCTTTCATTCACATAAGGGTTCGAGCAGGAAATAAGTATGTCTCCCAAAGTTTTTCCAACCCCCTTACCTGACAGACACTGACTCACACTAAGCCCTCAGGTTACTTTGAAATGTTATCTATTGTTTGATCCTTGCCACCTGACATTGATTAATGAGCTTTACCTGTATTCCTGTGTATTACAACCTAATAAAAGCCATTGAAGAAGAGGTTCTTGGTCCTTCTCCTTTGAGAGATTGACCACCTCTCCTCCCCAAGCAGATCATGTCTTGGTAGTTTCCCTTTCATCCGTGGCGAATGGGGGGACTTGCTGGCAAAGTTGCCCCCATAGTGATTCTAAGGATAAGAAAGAACTAATGAAGTGTAACCTACTTCTTCCTAACAGAGGCCTTAAGAAATCTCAGGGAAGTATAAACATGAACTATGCTCTGGGGAGGGGGAGAGACAGAACTGACATGAAACAACTGGAAATGAATAAATATCATTAGAAAAGTCAACACTGCATTGTGAGGTGTGGCCTGCAGAGACCTGGAGCCATCAGGGAGGGCTTTGCCAGGCTTGCTGGGTAGGAGCTGGAATCTGAAGCTGTGGCAGCTTTACTAGGTAATGAGGCTGAAAAAATAGGCAGGGATTAGAGACTCAGAGGCAGACAAGGATGAGCTGGGTTGGGGGTTAGTGATCATCTAACTAACTTAGAGCTCAGTCACCTGGTAGATAGCAGAGACCTGAAACCCACCTGATCCACCACCCCAGCCTAGCGTAGGGGAATGGGAGGCTGAGTATGTCTGAGATGGGACAGGACAGAATACCATTACTGCAGAGCTCAAAGCCCCTTAAAATCCCCCCACTCAATGTTTTCAGATACATTTAACAGTAACATCCTTTTTTCCCAACAAAACTTTATATTTGGAGCTCAGATATACAAAAACATTAAGACTATGAGGCCCAGAATCAAGGAACTACTCCAAGCCCCTGTTTTCACGGACACAGAGAAGAGACAAAACTAGCTGCAGATCACAATGTCAGACAGGCACTGACAGGAGTGGGACACAGACTTTCGGTGTAGGTCCAGGGACCTTCCCATGATGTCCCTGCCTCCTAGGGCTGACAGGTGTGAATGGAGATACAGAAAGGTCTGTAATGGGATGAAGAAGAAGAGGCAAATGGGCTCACAAAGATGCTCCAAAGGCAAGGAAGCATGCCACAACATTTTCTTCCACTTCCCTACAGAATGAGACTAGCAGAACTGACTGAGGGCAGCGGGCCATGCTGCCTACCCCAGGACCTAAGCCCTGACCTCCTGACTTCTGTCTTCCTGATGACAGGCCCTATGCCTGATCTCTCTGAGCTTCTCACCTGGTCCCGAGTATAAGGCGTGTCCACTCTCTGCTTGTCACTGCAGGCTTCCAGCAGGACGCGGATGGCGTTCAGTTGCAAGAGCATTTCGCAGGCCATCGTGTCAAAGAAGGTGATGTTGGCAAGGGCCGCAGAGGCCAGCAGGAAGACTTCCCCAGATGACGCCTCTTGGCACAGTTCTGGTGGGCAAAGAGGCAAGAAAGAGCTTCCATTGAAAAGTGCTTTCACATCAGTTTTCTCATTTGGTTCCCACAATAGCTCTGGGAGAAAATCTGGGCAAGAGTTATAACACCCACTTCACAAATGAGGAGAGTGGTTATTCAAAAGAGAAATGTATCTGTCTGCATAAGCAGTAGAGCTGGGACTTGAATCCTGGTGCATGACTCCTATTCACTTCTTTATGCAACAAGTATCTCCTGAGTGAACACAATGTACCAGGCACTGCTGGTGTCCTGGGATGATATGGTGGGCAAAACAGATCAGGTCTTTGTCCCTGTTAAGCCCACATCCTAGTAGTGGACAGGGAAAAAATGGAGCATTTAAAAAATTAACATAAATGGTTACAAATTATAATAAATGTAAGGGAGAAAATAAACAAATGTTAAAAGAGAGAATAATTAGAAGCCCAATAGGGTACATAAGGAAAGTCTCCTTGGGAATGTGACAGCTGAGCCCTTAAGAGAAAAATGGGGTAATAAGGAGAATATTTGGGTGAAGAATATCTTCCAGGTCAAAGGAACAGCATGTACAAAAGCCCTGAGGCAGAGGGGAGCTCCTGGTCCATTTATATCCCCACTAATGTACACTAAACTGTTGCTGCATTTGCCTTGAGAAAAGGGCTAAAGTTAAAACATAAAGGTTCTGCCTCTCAAGCTGCCATCAGCAAAGCTTCAGTATTTCCTTTTGGTCCCAAAATAAGTCCTATACCAAGACCCTGAAGAGGTTTTTGCTCTTTGATCCTAGTGGTCACAACCCAGACTTAACCAGATTCCCCTACTAAGCCATCTGTAATAGTACTGGTGGCTATGATGGATCTCTAAGGCAGGGAGGACCACCCCCCAATCCCTGCATCCCTCCACCACCTAATACATTTGCCCATGGGCTCCACTTGACCTACAATGGACTCCTGCCTTAGGAGAAGGCATAGAAGGGCTCTGTCCATGGTGCTGCCTGCCCATCCCAATGGATCTGACTTCTGACTCTCAGCTCCAATTAGACTGCCCATCAAGGTTCGTCCTGGGTCCCAGCCCTCTGCTACTGATAACACCTCTATGAAAATACAGGAAGAGAAGCCACACTTCAGGAGAACGGTCCCAGAGGAGAAATAAGGTTTCTAAGACATACTGAACTATGTTTTATCCTGATCTTTAGTTCTTGCTCCCAAAGAGTCTGTACTTCTAGGTTCTGATATTGAAACAGGCACTTTTTGGCACCTTCCAGTGCCTGGTCCCTACCTATAAAGGGACATAAAATAACGTTAATCGAATCCCCGCAGTGTGCTTTGCGCTTTGCCATTAAATTCTCAACACTCTTATAGTAGAAAATGGTTGTCTCCCTTTACAGAGGTAGAAGCTGAGACTCAAAGAGGCCAGTAGCAGCAGCAGCTACAACTTATCCTGAGTGTTCACTCTGTGCAAGGTACTGCTATATAGTGTTTTCCCTCATTAAGTCATTTCCTCCTCAGAGCCACCGATTTCTACCATGGTTTTATAAATGAAGGAACTGAGAATCCAAATGTTAAGTGATTTCCCAAAATTGTGGGCTTGAGGATTGTTGGCAATTGCTGAAAACTAGAATCAAATCCAGGACTGCCTTGCTCCAACGTCCCCATTCTTCCTGTCCTCCAGGGTGCCCCTTGTCTCCAGGCCTCAGATTTATTCCCAGTGATGCTCCTGCAGATCCAGGTTTCAGTTCTACCAGGAGGGCACTGTCTGCCTCTGGGCATCCCTGCTCCCCACCACCCAGGGGTGACCACTAAACAACTCAGAATCCTGATCTAAACATGCATGCTAGAGACAATGGACTAGCCAAGGAATTGAGAACTCTGTTAATTCCCCTTTTCTGATGACTGCCCTGTCCTCTCATGTTTAGGGGAGGGAAAACCAACCCCTTCTAGGCCACTTTCCTACATCCAGAGTTCAGGGTGAGACCATACGACTCAGCAGCCTACGATGCTTCAGGATCTCTCCTGGGTCTGAACACCCACCCTCATTCTTATGCAGTCACCATTGCTGCCGACACAGCAGTTAACACAACCATCTAAGTGCCTTTTAATTTGGGTGCGCATTGATCTGGTGCACATTTACAGTCTGAGTCACCTGGGATGTGTTAGGAAGATTAAACTGAGGAGTCCGGTGACTCATTTGTAAATGTTTCCAGGGAATGGCAAGAAGTTGGAGGGCTATTTCCCACCAAAGAACAGGGTCCTGGCGCCCTGCCCAGCAGATATCTCCCATCTGCTGGCTCTCGGGCAGACTCCACAATGTATCTTCATCAGAGTGAAGTGAATAGGGAGTCTCCTCTTCTCTCGGGAGAGGTCCAGCCGAGGCAAAGAAGTAGGAATGGCCATAGTGAGAGGTCATTTGGACTTTATTGATATGTTGTGATTTTAAATTATTTTTTTATCATTTACAAATTAGGAGATTCTTGACAAAATTTAGGATTTTCGTCTTTTTTTTTTAAAGGTGATTTTTAAAAATATTTTATTTATTTATCTTTAGAGGGGAAAGGAAGGAGAGAGGGAGAGAAACATCAATGTATGGTTGCCTTTCATGCATCCCCTGCTGGGAACTGTCCTGCAGGGAACCAGCCTGCAACCCAGGCATGTGCCCTGACTGGGAATCGAACCGCGATTGTCTGGTTCGCAGGCCGGCGCTCAATCCACTGAGCTATAGGATTTTCGTCTTGTCTTTAAAAATAAACCTTTTGAGCCCTGGCTGGTATGGCTCAGTGGATTGAGCACGAGCTGAGAACCAAATGGTCGCCAGTTCAATTTCCAGTCAGGGCACATGCCTGAGTCGCGGGCCAGGTCCCCACTGAGGGCCATGTGAGAGGCAACCACACACTGATGTTTCTCTCCACTCTCTTTCTCCCTCCCTTCCTCTCTCTCTAAATATAAATAAATAAAACCTTTAAAAAATAAGCCTTCCCCCCATGGCAAAAGTCGACTGGAGTTTATTGGTGACTGCCACCCTTTAGTCCCTGCAGATGCCTTTCCGCTCCATGCGGGACTCCTATCTCCTTATTGCCTCCTTCCATCTAGACTTCTCAACTCATTTGCGTTCCCTGCCTGGCTCTGGTGACTGACTGAATGTGAGATTCCCAGCAGAGGTAGACCCTAACACTGTTCTGTGACCTTGAGAAAGCCCCTCGACCTCTCGGGGCCTCAATTTCTTCTCCTAGAAAGTGGGCATTAAAGTTGATGATCTCTTGAGTTCCCTCCAGCTGAGACTTTCAATACCTGGCTTCTGCATTTTCTTGACTCTGAATTAATGTGCGTGTTGGCAAACTGATTTCTCCGCACCGGGCCTGTGGGTGCCGCTGCCCCAGTGACTAGAATCAGCCGTAAAGAGCCTACTTTGTGCAAAATAATTGTGCGTCTTCAAAATTCTAGAACTAGAGGGACTCTTGAGAGGACTGGGTCCCAAACCCTTGTTTTATGTGTTAGGAAAATTGTAAAGTGAGCTTTACAATAGGACGTGGCCAGGGAGTTGGCCGCATCTCACACAGCGCCTGCACAGGGCTGCTGGGCCCTGGCTCTTTGCAGAATGGATGAATGAAAGGGCAAAAGTCCAAACCTGAGTGTTCTGACTCCAAGGCCCGTGTTCTGTGTTGCCCCTAAATTTGTGCTGTTCCAGATATTCCCCGCCCTGGTGCTAACCTGACACTTTGTGACAAAATTCATTTTCGTTCAGTTTCAATAAGATACGGATGTAGGGACAGTGACAGAGAGGGGGACAGAAGCAGAAACACAGATCACCCCCAGCACTTATAAAGCACAGAATGTGAGGGCGTGGTTTGCAAAACAAATTTCCTGAGGATTGTGACCCAGATGAGTTCTAGTTTCTGCAGTTTTGCAAAGAAAGATGGAGGAGGAAGATGTTCTCAATATTGGGCTATGATTCTCCTACCAGGAGGACATGCATCTGAACAGAGAAACCCAGGAGAGTCAATGCTTTCCAGGCCCCATGACTTAAGGCCACGGTGGGGTGGCGGGTAGCATTTTAGGCTGAACTGGTGCTCTCTGAGAAGCTGTCAACTCCAGTCACTGCTTTCATGTCCATGGGGCACAACAGACTGAGATTTCAGGAACAAGATCATCAGAGCCTTTCTGATCAAGTATCTGAACCTCCAAATTTGACGCCCCCTCTTCTCTAGGGCTTGGCCTGGTCTCTCATCTGAAAGGCCAGTTCATCCCCATCTGACCTCAATGAAGGAGCTTCCAGAAGGGCTGTGTGCATTTTAATGGAAGACTTGACAGCAGGGCTATTTCAAGCCTGACTCTGATGCTTCAGTGGGACTTCGGCTGCAGCAATCATCTGTGCCATAGACATGTGTGGCACAGGGGGGTCTTCCTGGGCCTTCCTGAAGACAACCGTGGGAAGGCTCCCTCACTCAGCGGTTCCCACCCACCCGGCGTGACTCACTGACGAGAGCTGTCACAATCTCCTCCATGCTCTCCAGGAAGCTGCTGAGGTGCTGGGTGAAAGGCAGGTGTGGGGAAGTGACCTGGGCGACCACAGCTGCAGCCTCAGCCCGAGTGGCCTCTGAGTGGCTGTCGTCAGTCAGGATGTCGGCCAAGCACAGAACGCCATCTACCTGCAGGGGGAGAGAGAGCACAGCCTGTGTATCCTGGAAGAATACCACTGCCCATGGTGGTAATGAGATGGAGAATCAAGGTCAGCCTCATGGCCCAGCCCTGGATCCCCAGAGACTCTGGAGGCCTATCCTTTGGCTGCAGCAGAGATCAGCGAGCTCCCATGGGCTTCTTAGAGAGCAGGCATCAGGGGGTCCACCCTGGTCATCTCTCATAGAAGAAACAGTCACTTCACACTCTCACATCCCAGAGCTCCATCCTGGCTCCCTCTTGCATGCATGGTATGACCTCGCATGCGTCACTTAGTTTTTCCAAGGCTATTCTTCTCACCCACCCACAGGGTGTTGCGGGGTTAAGAAGATGAAGCAGGTGATGGCAGATCCAGAAAATATGCTTGACAAATGTTGGCTCTCTCCTCCTTCCCTTGGGTTAGCAGCAGGCTGAGCTCAACATCTCCCCTTCCCCACCTTCCTCCACCACCCTCCTCCACAGAAAGAGGGCTGCTTCCCTGGAGGGCTATCTCTCTGCCCAGACAAAGAGGAACAAACTTGGACACAGTGGGACAGGAGTGCCACTTCGCTTCCCAGTTCTGCCCCAGTCAGACTGGCTCTTGGCATAATAATAGCTGCTGCTTATTGAATGCTTAATATGTGCCAGCTACCACTCTAAGTGCACTACATACGGTAGTACCCTGCCTGATCCTTGAAATAACCCTTTCAGGTCAGTGTTATCATCAACCCTGGATTACCAGTGAAGAAACTGAGACGCAGAAAGGTGCACTGACTTGTCCCAGACCACAGACTTTAACACTAGTCGGCTTGAGATTCAAACCCACGCGGCCCGGCCTCAAAGCCCATGGCTGTGAACAGGACGCTAGACTTCCCTCGGAGAAGTGCCCCCTGCGCTCAGGCCCTCCGCCTCCACCAAGCGTCGGTGGATGAGACTTTTGGGAGAAAGGGGGGCAGTAACTAGTCAAGGTTAGCTCAGCAGTGCTACTGCAGCCCCTCGGACATCCCAGGACACCAGCCTGCCTCAGGTGCCTGCAGCTAGGAACCAGGGGGTCCTTCCCGGTAAGAAGTAGGGGAGTAGGAGGAGGTGCTTTGGAGAAGTGCTCCCCACACCTGCCTCAGGCCCGAGGCTCGACACCCCAACTTCCTGTCACTCGGCTCCTGCCGTCTCCAGAGGCCTGTGTGGTTTGACTAATTTCCACCACTGAGTTCTGAGCCTCCCTTAAATGGCTCTTGGGAACTGTAAGGTCCATTAGCTCTGAAAGCCTTTGGCAATCCCAGACTCAAAAGAGACAAATGTGGAAACAAGAGCCCAGGGACCTGTCCTCAATGAAACTCACCTGGATGTGCTTAATGGGAGAGGACAAACGGCAGCCAGGCTGCCCGCACCAGTGCTGGGTTCGCGCCAGCTGTCTGACTAACAGGCCCTCGGACAGGGGCCTTGCTTGGGCCCGGAAGTCGGAAACAGCCCCATTACTGCCAACAAAAGAAACCTCTTCGGCCTGTCTGGCCTTCATCCCTTTCTCCTTCCAGCACCCTCCAAGGCTGTAGCCAGACAGGGTCTCCCACAGGGGAACATGTCAATCATCCAGTCTTCCTAATCTCAGCTTGGACGCCAGTGGAGTTACATCCCCAACCCAGCTGGGAACACTGGTCAGACCCAAACTGAGTCCCCAACACATGCTTGGGGACAAGCTGATGGGAACACACCAGAGAGGCCAAGGAGCTGATGGTGCCCATGGGTCTGGTGCCGCCCAAGGCCTGGACGCCAGGCCAGCTCCCCAGCCCAGAACGCTGCTGGGCAAACCCACCGAGTACAGTTTCCCTGAGCACATACTGTGTGCTAGGCCTTGAGCTGGAGCGGAGTAGCAGGGCACCGTAGGGCAACACCACTGTGTGACGTGACTTCCGGCGAGGGAGGGGAAGCCTCCTGCAAACCGCCCTGACTTAACACCCTCCGCCCAGAAGGAGGAGCTGGCCCTCCTCGTAATTCACACCCAAGCACATCTGCTGCCATCACAGCATTTATCACACAGACTGGCCCTGTTTCTCCAGCGGGGTCCTGCGGACCAGGTGTGCACCGGGCTTTCTCCAAAGCACATTCCCAGGCCCCACTCAGACCTATTCACCTGGACTCCGAGGAGACCTGGAATCTGCCTTTTAACAAGGTCTGCAGTGAACTTTATGCACCAGCAGTTTGGAGAAGCCCGACCGCGGTATGATTCTCTGCTCTCTTGTCTGCCTGTCTGCCTGTCTGTCTGTCCCATTCCCCAGGGAGCTCTACAAGCCTGGGGACCACAGCTTGCTGACTCATGGCTGCTCCAGGCCTGGCAAATGGCAGGCTTTCCATAAATGGAATAAATGCAAGAGAGTAAAACTTGACAGAGGCTTCGAGGACACCTTAGCCGAGCAAAGGCAGAGGAAGAGCGATGCGGATGGAGGGCATGTCATGAGAAAAGGCCACAGCAGCGAAGGGCAGCTTTGGAGAAACAGCCAGTCTAAAAACATGGGTTCCACAGACCCCGGGAGAGTGCCCCTGACCCCAACCTGCAATCTCTCTTTTTTCCTTAGCTTTCCCAGAGAAGAGGATCCGGTGTCCTGTCTGCACACCTGCCCACTGTCTCACTTTCCCTCTAACTTGTTTTGGATGCTTCACATCACCTTTGGTAATTTATTAGTTACGAACTTTGGCATCCTTTCAAAATAGAGTATATAGATACTGCAAATTCATAAGGCCTCAAAAGAAATACAATGAACATCTGTACTATATGTATGTGTGGACACCTGATATCTGGAGAATCTAATCTTAGGAATAAAATAGCAGCAGAGAACCCTTTGAATACCATTCTTGATCTCCTGCCTCTGCCTTTCTCTGCTGGGGGGGCCACTCCCCTGAATTATGTGCCTGTTATTTCCTTGTTTTCTTTAGAGATGTGCTGCATGTGTATATTGTTCAGTTGTACAAGGTTTTGCATTTGACATAAAGGGGATGTATTGTATACAGAAATTTGCTATTGTTGCCCAGTCAGCATTATGTTCGGGAAACTCCTTCCTGCTGATGCCGGTGGCTGAGGTCACCGCTGTGTGCTGTCTCATCATATAAATCAATTGCAACTGAATAGAGAATCCATCAGTGCATTCTCCTGTCAGTGGCCATTTGAGTCATTTCCCCGTTTGGCTATAATGCACAGTGCTGCCATAAATGTTCTTCTAAACGTCTTCTGGGGCACACATGCCAGTTTCTCAGGCGGTCTCAGTCTAGGAGTGGGGCTGCCAGCCATCGAGTCTACACACCTGTAACTTTGCTGGCGTTGCCGAACTGCTCTGCAGCACAGCTGCAGCAATCTGCAGTCCCACCAGCCAGGTATTAACTCCTTTAACTCCATATTCTGGCCAGCATTTGGTTGTGCCAGATTTTAAACGTTTGCCATTTGGCCCGGTGTATAAAATTGTTATTCTAATATGCGTGTCTCCACTTACTACGATGATGCTGAGAGTTTTTTCATATGTTTGTGTCTTGCTTTGGTTTTGGTTATGGTTATGGTTTTGGCATTTGGATTTCCTCTTCCATGAAGTGCCTCTTCGTGCGTTTTCCTACTTGGTGAATCGTCAGGTGCGTCTATCTCCCAGGCCTTTGGCTCCAGTGTTATCAATCTGCCACTTAGCCTGCTGCCACCAGCTGCCACCAGCTGCCACCAGCTCCATCTCAGCGGCTCCAGTTGATTAGCCCTAAGGGGCCCCACAGCATTGGGTTCTGGGCTCCCTTGCACCTTAACCAATTCCTGTAGCATCAGCACATGCTAGACAGTTGCACCTACCTGGTTATGAATCCTGCCCCTGTATCTTACTAGCTAGACAATTTTCTACCTACTTTAAGCCTTTATCTACAAAATGGGGATAAAAATACCAACCTCAGAGGACATTAGAGGGTGACTGAGATAATGCAGGTACAAAGCCTGCCACAAGGTGGAGCCATCATCCCACCTCATTCCCATCTGGTTGAGGTAGTCAGGGCTCTAGACCGGGGGACCTGATCCTACCTCTTTTCTGCAGGTTCCTCTGGGACTGAGACCCCACTGAGAGCCTCAGCCCTTTGGTTGGGGCCCAAAAATTTGCCCAACTGTAGGGACAGCCTTGGATAATGCAGCCCAGAACTAGAACTTTTTTAAAGCAGAGTATGTCCTGTTTTAATTCCTGACCAGGACCAAGAAGATGAATAACCACAATCCATCCCTCAGAAGGGAGCAGAGAGAAAGGAAGTCTCATCCCTGAGTCTCTTTATAGTTGAGCAAACATTAATGGAACACATACCTTGTGAAAGGCGCTGTCCTCAGCCCTGATACAGAGATGAGTCAGGAAGAAATAAGAGATAAAAAAAAACACAGACAGACATAAAAAAACAGAGAGAGAAAGAGAGAGACATCACATGCTTAAAAGAACTTGGGAATTTATCTGGTGTAGAGCCCAGCCTCACAGTCTAACTTGGCCCACCTCCACCTGCAAAGAACTCTGTCCATCTCAGACTTCTTACCTTCCTGGGACTCCCTGATACCTGATTTTGGGGGGTTCAGCTCCTCCCTAGCTAACTACTAATTTCCATTTTGCATCCGTCTCAGGTGCCCATGCCAGGTTTCGCCACCTGCCCACTCTGCCCCATCTCAGTCCCTGGCGCCCAAACCCTAGCAGCCTAAAGTGACTCCCCGTGATGACCCCCCGCATGGCCCCCCCACACCCAGCCCTCCATCCCCGACTTTCTTTCCTAAGGTCCACATCTACATTTCAGACCTGCTGCTGGGTCTCTCTAACTCCAAAACCAATTTGCCTGGGTGTTCCACAGGCTCCTCAGACCCAGTGCACTCACCCCTTAAGTGGTCATCTTCCATGTCTTCCATGTCTTCCCTCCTCACTCCCCTCTCAGACCCAGGTGAGAAACCACCTCCTCCAGAGACAGGCACCTGCCTCCCCCAGACAGAAGGTCTCTGGCCTCCCAGCTG